CATTGTTTAACCGTAGTTTTTAGCCCTTCTGCTCTCATATGAAAGCCCAAAGACCCAGGGAGTTGATCCTGGCAACGATTTACACAATCTCACCATTTTGGGGGCCAAACAATCTCCCTTTTCAAAAGATACTGTGGGGGGGCACTTTTAATGCTAACGAGCTGGCCAGAAATTCTCACTTGAATTAGTGGTCTGCACCCACATGGACATGTACATGTGAAACGATCAAGGGTCAAAGTTAAAAATACCACTGCGCAATTGTGACAAAAAAAAAAAAAACGACGAGCGACGCACGACGGGCGACGCACGACGGCAGATATGGAATTCCATAGTCTGGTAGTGGACGCCCCCAGTTTGTAGATCAACTTCATAGTTGGCCAAAAGAGAGGAACTGGTTTTAATCACTGGGATGTGGCGTGGTCATACCCCAGGCATGAATAAAACTTCGTGTCAAAATTGATGCAGGCGCAGAAATGATTTAGTAGCGGTAAATTATTTGATTTGGGAAGACAACTTTTTTCGAAAGTCACTAGAGAAATGCATCTCCGGTCACTTAAGCCCCGATAATGCTGTGATGTCTTGTTACGTCTCTGACAGATCCCAGATCCAGCGCTGTGGTTCTTTAATGTATCCTCGTTGGTTTTCCGGCGGCGTGTAGGGACCAGGATTCAGTGCATGTATGCCCACAAAGAAATGACTTGTTGGTTTCAGAACTGCTGGAGTTTAATATGCAATGGCAGTCGAAACGACATGTGACTTTGACCAGGTAAACGATGTGCTCAACCTAACGGATGAAGCCGACGCGTTGAAATATGAATACACAGCTGCCCACATTCCTCTTCTGACTATCGTGGGGCCTTGTCTACTTGTGCTCGGCCTGCTTTCGAACGGCACTTTCTTGTATGTCGTTTTCCGCGTTCGATGGATGCGTACCATCGTCAATTTATACCTGGTCAACTTGGCCGTGGCCGACATACTCTACCTGTCTGTCAGTTCCCTGGACAAACTCGGCCGATTCATGGTGTCTCGCGTCTTGAACGACCAGTCCACACTCGGCCAAGCTGGCTGTGTTCTCGTGTACCTCACCACTGACACTGCCAGTCTGGCGTCCCTCTCCATAGTCACATTGATCACTGTAGAGAGGTACCAGGCCATCTGCCGGCCCGTGCACCACCGTTTACTCCGCAGCTGGCGCCGTGCGGCCGCACACCTTGCGTCTGGATGGTGCTTATCACTACTGTACGCTACATTCCTTATTCCGTCAACATACACTTTCACAACATACTGTGTTATATGGCCAGACGATAGTCGCTACTCAACCTATCCCAGTAGAGTGGGATATTGCAACGCACATAACGAAACTGCCCAGAACGCCCTAAATGGGGCACAAACACTACCCTTCTTCATAGCCTTCGTCATCAACACAGTGCTCTACGTAAAAATCCTGAAGCAGCTGAAACGTACGAGTCCTTGCAGCGACGAACCAAGCCTGTCCCAGGCCGTTTCGCTCCATCGATCCCGGGTCCGACATCAAGTATCTCGGATGCTGCTGTTGAACGGTGTCGTGTCTTTCCTCTGTCTCTCACCGTGGGAGTTCACTTCCTTCTCAGTGATGCTGACGGGGTTTATCAAGCCAGAATCGCAACTCCTCAGTGAAGAGCAGCTTTTTATCTTGGCCCAGGTAGTACGGTCGCTGCTGTACCTCAACTCTTGCATCAATCCGCTGGTTTACAACGCTACGAATTCCCGCTACAGGAAGGCTTTTCGTGTTGCTCTCTGCCCGTGCTCTCGACAGAGAATTAAACCTGTCAATCCTCAAGTGCTACCGTCAAATAAGATTTCGTAAAACGCAACGTAGTGCAGTGATTTCTCGTTGTGTATTTCACCGAATCTTGACTAACCCATATTCCACAAAATCCTGCCGGTGACCTCATAAGTTGCAAGATTTTTTTTCTTCGCTTTTAAGGTGATTTTTCTGGACAATAGGCTAATTCTCTGCGGCCTTTTCCCACGACAATAATTCTCTGCGGCCTTTTCCCACGACAACATATGTAAACTTGAAACTTAAACAAACACCAACCCTGACTCCTAGATGAGCTTTCAAGATTGACTGCAGGATGACTGTCATAATGTTTCAAATTACAAGCGATTTTATTTTCAAAATTTGACCAATTTCTATCCGGTGTATCTCATGAACTAACATAGAGGTGATGTTCATAGTTAGGGATCCGACAGATCTTGAGTTAGTCAACAATTTTTTGGGGAGTGTCGAAGTAGTCTGATGTTTGCTCACGGGGTTAATTAAGGGTCAAAGTTAAGGTATATTTCAAATGTTAAAGAATCGCAAATAAACACACTGGTAAATATCTTCTAAATAATTGAAGAAATTAACGTGAACCTGCCTATGAGGTCCAACTTGAAAATGATGTTTTCAACTGCAACTCCTGAAATGAATGAGATAGCGCACTCATATTGAGACCTCGTAGACCTATGCGCAACATTACTAATTGCAACAGAAATTAATGTGATCTCCGTAACTGGAAGTGCCATTATATGGGGTTATATAACTCAAAACGGGAGGATTCTTAATCAGTCAACCAAATTACTAAAATATCAAGAGCGGTATTATAAGCACTATACACGAGTATTTGTGGTGTCATGATATGGAAGAGAAAGTTCTCGTAGCACATTGACGACACTATTTTTTACGATTTAATTTGTTTGTTATATCGTTGCCATACCATAAATAGAAACAATTTTGGTGAAGTTCCAAAGTGACCTGATCATCCCATAAGTTATTAAGGGACATTTTTGAGATGATCAGTTTCCTCTTCAATTTACTTTGTGTGCAAGTACTTCAGTGATGAAGTCTTGCACACAAAATGAGATCAAAAGTACATTCAGTCCAGTTAAAATTGGAACAAGGAATTGTCTTATGCCGCATCTGTTTATGCTTCCACACGCTTTCCTGTTAATTTATTGCCGTTGACAGCATACTAGAAGCATCAGCGTCGCTTATGAGGTCAGAACTTTCGCATGTAGCGTTAGCGTGCACTTATAGTTGACCAGAAAAGGTTCCCCTGTACGAAAGCCTTGTAATGCCATCAAGTATACATTTCAAAAAGTGAAGTATATTTTTTTCAAAGTTCCTGCACGGTGTTCTTGCCCTCTTTTCCAGTGCACGTGTGAAAGAACTTAAAGCGTCCCCTTAAGTGGTGAAGTCCTTGCCCAAAAGCCCAGAGTGCATTTCCCTGGACCCCAATCTTTTGTTACAGTCAAACGGCAGCGCAGCTTGCACTGGGCTTTGAGCTGAACCAAGAGAGGGCGCAATTTTCCAAGCAACGGAGGCTCGGTAGTAGCTGTGCGTCGCTGGTTCACGCAAACGTTGCAGTCGCATCGCTACCGACAAAATGAACACTCCCGACCAACATGGCTCTTTCAACTCTTCCACTTCTGCTCGAAGTGGATAGTGTTTGTATTCCTTTATTTGCAGCAATCAATCAGCCATGGTTGCGTGAAATTTGCTAACTTGTTCCTTCCAACGCTTCTGTTGAGGTGCCCGAACAAAGGTTTCTAGGCCTATAGAGAGTTGCTTAGCCAACAATGAAAGAACACTGGAGTAGGGATCTGGTGTGTGTGGGTTCCTTATTGGCAAAAGTGGGGGAATCGCACCAGACCAGATTAAGCTAGAGAGCATATATATTTTTTCATTTTTCAAGATGTCTGACTTTACCTTGTGTCCTTATGTCTTTGAACGAACCCTATTGCAACCAGGCACAGCAATAGCTTTAAAAGCAGACAGTTTCACTACGATTTCGTCGTGTATGAGAGCCTGTTTGAGGAAGAGAAATTTGGGCTGTATTCCCATGGCCTCAGTCCGTGCTCTTGAAAACACACCAAGAAGATTATGCGTCCCTTAAGTTACCACACAACCTCACTATTTCTTTTAACCATTTATTGGTCAACTATCATTTTTTTAATGTATAATTAAAAATGTTAATTTATTTCAATAAAATCTGGCATCGATTTCTGGAAGAAAAGCCAAGTTCAATACCTTTTAGCAGATTTACTGACTTAGCACTAGCAAGATCCAAAATATATTTTCAGATGAGATTTATGTCGAAAGATTGAATTGATGCTTGAAGACTAGACCGAAGTTTGAGGACTAGACTGGTGCTGGAAAGAATTGAGTTGATAGGTGTTTTTTAAATGAAACTACCGTTTGAATCTACAAGACGATTATGGATATAAACGCTGAGAGTCTGGATAAAACAGGGCAAATGTTAATTGATTAATTCATCACCGATGTCAGATGAAATACATTAATTGTAAGAAACAGCTAATATTTTGTAAATAGATGGCTGTCAGGTGAAGGAGACGAGACCAGATATAGCTGTCTCGGTACTGGAACATGTGCGGTTGTAAGACACCCAACCTAGATGACGGTGTTTCTAACGATCAAGCGTCAACTGATGATACCGCTGGCTACTTAATATCCTTAATACACCTGCTCCTCCCAGTTGATACCCCTAGTATTAGTAAATTTTGAACAACAAAAGGTGTTAAATACCCTGTGAAACCCCTTGAAATTAAACTTCAAAATAAAGAGGAATTCAACAACAAATCTATAGTTATTCATTGACTGAAAAGAGAAGAAGGTATTAAGTGTATAACACGAAAGCAAATGTAATTCGAGACATAGAAAGAGGTTTTGTGTAAGTTGTAAATTAGTGTAAATTGTTGGTAATAGAACAGAGTAACGGAAGAAAGTCTAATTTCGTCCATCGTGTTTCCTTCGTTGTAGGGGAAACTGATAAGCACAGTTATAGATAATTGGACACAATTTCAGGAAAACATCTTACAACGCGTCAAGTAGAATGTCCAACATTTCACCTCACTGTCGTCGAAATCATCATTTCACCGTTGCGTTCATAGGTACAAGCAGTCTGTTTTCAAAACCGCACCCACGGGTTATTATACAAGAGGCCAAACAGTGTACCTTTGCACAAGAAAACCCAATATGCTTTCACTAGTTTTTTCGGCTGAATTCGCAAAAACAGCAGTCAAATTCATTAACGTGCATTCGTGTTTGGACGGTTCTTCTCAGTCCATTGCTCTCATGCTTTTTTTTTTCAAACTTGAGCCTTTAATTCCGTTTTAATACGGACATTGATTTGTGTACTTTCACGCATTAAAATTGGAACCATATCTTCATTCAATTGAAAGATGCATTCCCGTAATTCAAATTCACGCCTAGTTACTGGAAGGAGAATTCTCACTCTAACTGCACTTTCGTTTTCGTCTGCGGGAAGGTTAGGCATGTTTCCTCTCCATCCACGGTCTTCAAACTGGAGATGGTAAGTAAAATGAATAGGGTAAGAGCAATACACGACAAATTAGGGAACAAAAGGGGAGCATACATATAAAAAAGAATGATATAGGTACATTTCACGAAAGTGTTTTTATATTTTTACATTATTAACGAAAACATTACAGACCTGAAGTGCATAAAGTCCAACAATGATTTGTTCATTTAATCTAAATTTGGAGGAAATAGTCGCCAAAGACCTTCATCGTGGATACTGAACAAAAATGTCGTAAATGGACAATGATCACATCTCTGGACTATATGCAGTGAAGTAATTGGGAATTTGATCATTTCAACAGCAAATACACACACATACTCCCTCACCCATGTTCATGCTTATGTATGCACATGATTGATGTTTCTACCAATTTAATTTCAGAATTGTTCGCAGCGGTTTCTCTTATTTTGAAAGCAGATTTATTTTCTCCTGTTTTTCATACTTTTTTCCTCGTCCTGTTTTCAGGCATTTCCCATTACCTGGTTTTATATGTTTTCCCACACAATTTTGAAAAAGACGCATTATTTTGAATTCCGTAAATTCGTTTTGGCGCCGATTTTTATCAACAATTCTATTGTTCTGGTTTCATTTTTTTTAAATAACTAGCATTCGATTACAATTTTCATCATTCAAATTAATGAATGTGCAAAACGTTTCATTTAAACGATTACAAATAGGGCCTAGGCGATCAGGATTTCAGTTTGACGAATATGCGTCGCTTTTTTTAATTGGTTTACATGGGTTGAAGTGAATATTCCTTTTATTTTTTATTTCAATTATCATATTCTGTATTCAATCTAAATATACAGGCCTGTACAAATCATTATACAACTCTGACTGATTTATTGATTAATCAGTATATTGTCACAGTTCTTATTGATCTTACTGTTCTTATTAACAGAAAAGCATATGCATGTGAGATTAAGACATATTGAATGATATCAATCTGAATAAACAACCGTCTGTGTCTCCCTCTTGCAGCTATTGCTGGATATTTTACGAGGCCTAGGCCTATATCTAATGCGAACTATGACACTTGGCTATAAAATTGTGATGCGATTTTAACAAATGCTGAGCAAGAAAGTTTAGGTTTTATTATCGGCTTTATTACAATTGTGGTATGGTCCAAACATCTACATCCCTTGTTTCTTTCAGTCATCATGAATATTCAAACGATTAATCCTTCAATCAAGTATTCCTCATGTGCTTAAGCTTTACCTGGCTTACATCAAATATCACTGTGCTAGTTAGAAATCGGCCGCAAGTTCAGCAAAATAGATTAATGTTGACTTAAAAGGAATACTGGACTGCGGATGTGTCTTCGATTTCGAGCTGGAATGAAATGTTAATACATTCCGTGCACATTACAGGGGAATCGTACGTGATTTTCTTTGCATCTAAATGTACCTTCGTGGAAATAGAATTGCAATTTATTCAATAGAAAGATTTTGCACGTTCGTCCAATTTTATACGAAAATTAATGCTTCTTTTATGAATTTATGTAAAAATTTTCAAAAATTGTCCAAGAAAGCCTATATACTTAGCCTAGCTGGTATCCTTTCTTTTCATAGTTATTAAACAGAAACAAAATTCTATTTATCCTCAACATGAAATGAAAACATTGATCACCTGTTTCTTAA